GGCTGTTCAACCTATTTATGGACAGCTGTTTGAACGACCTGAAAGTAGGAGAGTCTGGATTAAGGATGAATGACACAGTGATTAAAACATTGTTGTATGCCGACGACCAGGTGCTTGTTGCCTCGTCGGCCCAAGAATTACAACAAATGATCACTGCTATGAATGATGCATTTGAAAGGAAAGGTATGAAAGTAAATGTGAACAAGACGAAAGTGTTGGTGATAGAAAGAAATGAGGTGATAACAGAATGTCAGGTAATGATAGGTGATGAAAAATTGGAACAAGTGAATGAATTTGTGTATCTGGGATCACTATTTACGAGAGATGGAAAGTGTGACGGGGATATTGAAAGGAGAGTGAAAGCGGGAAATAGTGTTAATGGTGCTTTACACTCTGTCATGTCGAGTAAAATAATATCCAGCAAAGCTCGACTTGCTGTAATGCAGTGTGTATTGACACCAACGCTTATGTATGGTAGTGAATCATGGGTGTGGCAGAAGAAGCATGAAAGCAGGATTAATGCGGTGGAAATGAGAGCCCTAAGAAGTATGTGTGGACTAAAATTGAGTGATCGAGTGAAAAATAGTGTTATTAGAGAAAGGTGTGGATTGAAAGATGATGTAGTGACAAGGATTGAAAAGGGAATGTTACGCTGGTTTGGACATGTAGAAAGGATGGATGAAAGTAGAGTAACGAAGGAAGTATACAGAGCGGATATGAATGGGGCCGTCGGTAGAGGGCGCCCTAGACGGACATATAGTGACCAGATTGGCGATATATTAAAGAAGGGCCAAATTAAAAGTACCCTTAACCGACGAGCATGCATGAAAAGATTGATGACTGTTAATGAAGCGAAAGAGGTATGTAAGAATCGTAGTAATTGGCGTTCCTTAGTCTCTGCCTACCCCCATGGGAGACAGGCGTGAAGTTATGTATGTATGTATGTATCTTGAGCTTGACATAAATGTAATAAACTCATTTCTTATTAATACCTTGTAATTCATCATAACCATTCATGTAATACAGGGAGCGACCGTATGGCACAGTACGAAGCGATCTTTGCTATGTACCTTAGGTATTAGGTAAATAGGTACTGAGAATTTTGATTATAATTTAAAGTACGGAAACTAAACACTTTCGAACCCATAATCAAGTGAAACGTGAACCCATAATCAAGTGTAACGTGTAGTAAGTAAATAAAACAATAAAAGCATTTCTGTAACATATCTTACCTTCCCACCCCGAGCGGCCAGTTAGGCCGGCGTTCAACGAATCTGGTATGAACTTCCTTGGTCCTGGTGTAGCTGAAATTATTCAGAAGCAATATAACTTACTGTAAGAAATTGTACCGGGTTTGAAATGCCTCTATCCAAATAACTAGGTACCTACTTATCTATGTAAGAGTCCGTAGTAAGGAGTACCTATGTACTTTAAACTAGTAAATCTCATTTAGGCGTAGTAGGTCAAAGAAATGAAATGCTGTAGGTATGTGTAAATCTGAGTCAAAAATAGAGATGACATTAATTTTAATAAAGCATTAACAAGCAAGTTTGTTTCCTGTACCTACTTTGATTAGATACATTATAAAAGTGAGCATTTACTGTTGTTGGTGAATCGCAAAACGCTATCACCTTGTCAATCTCGTTTGCAGCCACTTAGTCATATTTTAATGACTATTTAATTGAGTGGTAATACATAATGGGAAAAATCACCCGTTATGTGTGCAAGCGAAGCATATCTAATGTATATAATGGTTAAATTGAATTATTAGATAGGTAATGTAGTATATCGTTTAATTGCGTTAACTACGATTTCTAACTGTGCTGGCCATAAGGAAAGTGAAGAAAAAAAAATTATCTAATTTAGGCAAATTAATAATTAGATCCTACCTAACAGTCCTCAATTATCCAGCTACCTAGTCTCGAAAAATAGTGTAGGTAGAACATCCATTGATGTACCTATATTGTATAACGCCCAGGACATCCCAAATTATGATTATGGTATCAATTCAATACGATTTCCTAAATAAACTGTGACTTAATGACATAAAAGAACTCATACTCATTTGTCCTACTAGGGCGGTCTGCAAAAAAAGGATAAAAACGGTTACTGTAGTAGGTATGTACCTAATCTTTGTGATTATAAAATACTATGAACATGTATCGTCACTTCTAACTGCAAGCAGTTGATAAATTGTGATTATTCATGGTGGAAGATTTGTATCGCACACGCGGTACGCTTACGCTACCTACCTACATCATAAACAGTAGATCGTGATGATTCTCGTTTTTTTTCAAGAGAGTCGAGTGCAAAATTCTCACTTGTTCTTAGTATTTAAAGTATTGCACATACGTTATTAAGACTTGTAGTTGTGTTTGTTGCGGCCCATAAAACTATAGTAATAATAAAAATGAATTGGCGATAAGTGTATGTCATAATGTCTATATATATTTCTGTGGGCTCGCTGCCATCGCAGCGGTAAGTCCCCTCTTTGAGGAGTGGCTTGAGAGACGCTACGGCGTCCTCACCTACCGCCTGACGCAGGTCCTCACCGGACATGGGAGTTTCGGGAGGTACCTGTGTCTGATGGGGCGGGAGGAAACGTCCGGATGTCATCACTGCGAGGACCGCCCTGAGGACACGGTGGAACACACTGTCGCGGAATGCCCTGCGTGGGCTGAGCACCGCCGTGTCCTCAGGGAAGTGATCGGCGATGGCGACCTCTCGCGTCCGGGCCTAGTGCAGGCCATGATGCGGAGCGAGGGGGACTGGGATGACGTCTCCTCCTTTTGCGAAGCAGTCATGCTAGCTAAGGAGGAGGCGGGACGCGTGAGGCAGCGAAGCGCTGCCTCCTCGCAACCCAGCCATCGCGAAGGACACACCGGGCGTCGGGGATCGCGGGACGATCTCCGGCCACCGTAAGCGCGGGCCTGCGGACGGCGAGCATGGGTGGCTCCCCGTCCGACCAGAAACAGACCCGAGCGTACGGCGCGTCGCGTTCCGCGCGCGCCTCAAAGAGCCATCAGACCACCACAGATGGGGCCCAATAGGGCCGATGCCGATTCGGAGTCGCGGAGAACCTAACGGGTAACCGGGGCTCCGGCTCGACGTGCAGGAGAAGGAACAGGGTGGTTTTTAGTCAGTAAGAGTCTGACACTCCCTCCCGCCTCACCCAGGCG